CTGAGCAGGGGATTAATCTTCACACGACCTGTTCAAGTTCTCCTGGAAATCTAAGTGGCAGTCCGCTCCATTGCTCCGCAAGGAACCAACCAAACCAAAAACCTGTCCGCCCTCCAATGAGCCCCCCATTCTCTGGATAAACCCACACCGACTGGATTCTGGGAAGATAACCTTTTTCTGCTAACGTGAGTTCCATTCATCTCTGATTTTTGCAAGATGTTGTTCAAAGTTCCCAGGGACCCTGAACTAACCTCTGAACTTCCCTTCTCACTTTTTATGCCTGAGTCTGAGTATATATGTATGTATGTATACACTGAGGAAAACCTGCTATTGAAACCTGCTGACCCTATAAAATCTGTGACATATTTTCAGCCAGGTGCTCGATACATGTCAGATTGGACAAAGTGTAACGTTAATTGACAACCACTGATTAATCTAATTTACCAAGTATGCCTGTAGATGAAGAAACTGCTATCATGACTGAACTCAAGCATTAGATTCAGAGTTGAGCTTTTAACATTGCTTCATCATTCATGTTTCAACTCACTGTTGGATGTTTGAACATTATTTTCAACTCATATTGGCAAAAATATAAGTTGAATTATTTTCATCATAAAGCGGCAAAAACATTTAAAAGGCTTGTTTGTAAAAAAAAAAAAAAAATGTTTATTAGACATACAACTCAAATATGGCGGATATTTCAACACCGGATCCATGATGAGGACATTTTTTCAACAGCCGTTAAACGTTGAAGGTCAGTTGAATGCCAGCTGGGTAAATTCTTTCCAAAGTGTGTTAAATGCTATCCTTCTTCTAATTATGTGCATTCTAGGCCCTTTGTGTCGAATTATGGGTCCAAGATGACAATAAAGCTTCTAAATATATTATCGTAGACCATTATACACCCACACACACACACACACATATATATATTTGCAATAGTTTAGTTAACTACATCAATAATGATTTAAAAAAAGAGAAAGTTTATTTCACAGAATAATTCATTTAAAGGACCATACAGACTTCTTCATTGCAGGCAACAATCAGCATCCATAGAGCAACAAGGTGACATCAGCTAAGAGGAGCAGCTGTGATGTTGTTGGTCTGAACCTGTGGGCCGAGCGATGCATCAAAGGCCACATACTCCAACTGGAATCCACCGGCGGTGAATGAAGCGTCAGAGAGAAACTTCAGGGTCATGACATTTCCTGAAACACAGCAGAGGTGGATCTGATTAAGAACTTCAAAGTCTACATGGAGTACCAAGGTACTAGAATAAAACAATGATTTCTTTTGGATATCTAGCAGATTATGAGCTGGTCTTTTCCTCGTGTTGACATGCAGACATCTCTCTGCCTGTGGCTTTATTATACAGATTTTAAAGTAAAGGAAGATCTGTTATTTTTGTTTGGTTGCTTGGTCATTTTACCCCAGTAGAGGGAGCTCTGGAGCAAGAAATTGTTGATGCCAAAGTACAAAACTCAAATATTCACACATCTAAATCAAAGAGTAAAGATTTCATTTTGTTTTCTATAAGCTGATTAAGATTCCCATTTGTTTTCTTGTTACTAGAAATAAATATTATTCATAGAAGCATTTATTCTCTTAATCATCTGTTATATTCTACCGTAAAAGGTCTGGTTATTTTTGCAAACTGACATTTAAAACAAAGAAATTATGCATGTTAAGAAAAAACTAAATAATAAAAGATCTCCTGCAGGTAGATATTATTTATAACAACTTTATATAAAGTAAACCATTTGTAAATTGGCAAATGATGAAACAGTAATGATAAAAGAAAATTGTAAAAAGCATTCACAAAACTGTAATTAAGTCCATAAGATTAAGAGGAATTATTAGTCGTAAGTGTTGCATTAAAGGAAAAAACTAAGTGAAAACAGACAGTTTCTTTCTTTCTATAGTTTGTCTATCAGAATCCAAACTAATTCTTTGATTTTATTTCATTTTTATTCTTTTCCCCATGATAATGGTGGAAATAATGTCAGCTTACCTGTGCTGATGATGTCATCTGGTAAATAATCACCACAGAACCTGAAACAAGATTAAAAAAAAATAAGAATAAATAAAAACAAAGATTACTTTAAAAAAGGGAAAACAATTTAATTAAATT